CAGAGAAAGCATAAGAGCAGCTAAGACAGGGAAAATCTCATTTTAACAACCCACAGACTTGTGGAGTACCCCAACATGTTTTCCAAGAAAAGCTACTTTTTCCCCCTAAAATCCCTAACATGAGCAGAAGGATTCCGAGAGAAGGACTCAGAGAATACATTAGCAGTGACAGGGAGCTCGGACTGCACCCCTGCTGCCCACCCCAGCAAAGCTGCCCATGGAGAAGCCATGGCCCTGGGGATCACAATGGCCGTAGGTTTTGCCATCATAAGTAATCCCAGGGTAAATCCTTTAGAAAAACAAATATGAGACCCAGAATCCCTCTTTTCTGCCAACACACAGGTCCAAGTTATTACATTTTCTTCTGGTAAAAGTCCCTTTCCTGCTTTTGCAGAGGACCATATTGAGGCAATAAAAAAAATGGACCACCTTTTTGGATGGATCCTCCAAAATGCTCTGTTCATAGTTCATCGCTTTGACGAGTATTGGCTGAGCCTCTGTGACTGACCAAGCCCTGGAGATAGAGGAGCGAACAAAAGCAAGTTCCTATCCTCATGGAGCTGACACCCCAGTAGGTGCGCAGCAGCTTTGTCCTGACAAAGAGTGGGCTTCCAGATGCTTCCACTCCCTGTCTTTATCCTAGTTTGCCTTTTGCCTGGAACTCCAAAAACACAGACACAGATGGAAGAAACTAAAGGTACCCAGGAAAGTTTGGGCCCAACTCCAAGTGTCAAGAGCAGGACTATGTAGTATAGTCAGGGAAGCAGGTGGTCCTTGGACCCAAATAGCTTTCAACTTGCAGTTAAAGGACAAGAATAAAAAAGATTTCCAAAGGTACACGTTTATTCCTTTAACACATCACGTCTCCCTATGCCTCCTTTCCTCCCTTCCCCTTTCTCTCTCTCTCTCTCTCTCTCTCTCTCTCTCTCCCACACACACACACACACACACACACACACGCACATTCTATAGTGCACCCCCTCCGAGAAAAATACCCAAAGACACATACACAAATATGCAAAACTATGCAAAACTACACAAATGCACAAGCTACACAGGATAGGAAACTCAGGTGTGCCCACATAAAGACACAGATGTCATATTTTCAAGGACACACAGACACTCACAAACAAACCTATGACCTATAAGAGAAGGGTCATGATTACAAGCAAAAACACACATGTCTAAACACTTTCTAATAGAAGCTGAGGTTCTTGGTCCAGCTGCCCTGGTAGCTGTGCCTCCCATCGCTTCTATAAGATTACAAAGATTAAACTGTTGGTAGCCAACTTCCTATAAGTGCCTGTAAAACAAGAGGGCTCAGCTTTAAATAATTATGTCACAGAAATGACAACTGTGCTCTTTGCCAGAACAGGGATGAATAATTACAAAGCCAGGACATAATAAGCAATTCTAACTGTTGGATTCTTGCACTGTCTCTCTGACGTGCAGGGCCGGCGTGCCCGCCACACACACCTTCCTGGACAGGTCTCTGCACTGATTTGATCTACGTTTCCTGGAGCAGCGAGCGGGGGTCACGGTCTGGTCACTACAGAATCCGTTCTTTGCGGTCTACCACCTCCTAGGCGTCCAGCTTGGTGCTCTCTGCATTGACAGTGGCATGATACGATGGCCAATATTTGACAGAGATATATATTTTCTTTAAAATTTTGGGACATGAACGAAGCCTGGCTGTTGTAGGTCCATTCACTAAACACACACACACAGAGTCTAGAAGAGCCACTGCAACATTAGCTGTCACTTCCTAATGAATGACAGCATCGTTCTGTACAATCAGAGCTCAGACAGAAGGCAGCTTTTAAACAACAAAAGCCAAAAGGCAGCCACGAAGGAGAAATGTGTCATCGTGAGAGGGAGCGAGAGCCAACTCCACACTTCAAGCGCTGGGGCCTGCCAGGTACCAGATCAAACCCTTGTGACTTAGGGGGTTTATGAGTTACTGGATGATTCTGCATTTGCGTCAGCCGTGAACACCCAGACTGCCCGTTCTCCACCTCCAAGGCAAGGGCTGTGATTGGAGAGGCATTTTCCATTCTCCCAAATACTTTATGTCAGGAATAAGATGAGAACAGCTCCCCAAATCACGGCCCCCTTGATCATCCATCAGCGCATTCTGCCAAGTAAGCAAAACAGGACGCCACTGCCTCAGAAAGGACAGAAGCCAACTTGAGATTCCGCGTCCGTTGATGAAAAATACGTCTTCACCAAGTGTGCTCAGCACAGCATCGGCAATTCACGGAGAGGAAATTGCTCTCCGCTTAGAAGCCGACTCCGGGTGTACACATACCTCCTAGTACATATATATACATATATATATATATATATGTGTGTATATATATATGTATACACACACACACATAGAGATGGAAAGCATATATACACACCTGCAAGGAACAAACATATGTCTGTACATACTGTGAGCAGGCGAGAACCAGCCTTTTTAATCCCAATTTAATAATTCAGCAAGGAGCTCATGTGGCCTCTTTCTATCTGCAAGAGAAGTACCAGCACATTGCCCAGCAAACAGCAGACAGAAGGGAACTGCCTGCCATTCATGAGAGGCATACAGCTTGATATGAAACCAGAACACAGAGAAATCCTCCAGTGCACTTAAAGGATCACAGTGTAAAGAGAGCACTTCACTGGGAGCCCAGATGGTCTGGGTTCTGGTCCCAGTTCTGCCTCCAAGGGACTGTGGGGCCTTAGGGAACTACGTCCTCTCCCAGTTCCTTCACCCATAAAATAAGAGCACAGACCAGGTGAGTTCTGAAGCCCTCTCCAGCTTGGAAATCATGGAACTCTACAAAAGGATAACCACCAAATGTCCTCATGCTTTGTCAGAGTAGTTACGTCTCTCTCCAAATAATTAATGGCTCTTTCAAAGCTTAACACAGTTAGTAAAGATGGTAGCATCCACCACACAAACGTGAGCTCATTCTGTAACTGATCAGAAACTGCTGTGGAGCTTTGAAGAGCATTTCTGATGATGGTGCTAACGACTCGGGGAACCAGCTACTGCTGGATGCTAAGGAGTCGTTCCCTGCTTTCAGAGGCAGGGGAGGACTTCAGTTCCCCCATCTCTACTCCAACAGAACAGTCCTGCTGTTTCCTGTTTTCTCCACTTAGGCCTTCCTCGGAGGTTCTGTCTGGACGGAGAGATGCATGGGGAGAATGGTGAGATGAGTGCTCCAGGGGTAAGAGGTCGGAGTGGAAGAATGTAGGCTCTGCAGTCAGACACACAGGTAAAGCGCGGGCTCTAGCAATGATGAACTGGTGACTTGAGCAGCCCAAATAGCGTCTCAAGGCCTGAGTTATCTCATCTGTACAGTAAGCCAACGTTCCCTTCCTTCCACGTTAGAAGATTATGTGAGGACTCACATACCTGGACACCTTAGAACAGTACTGGATGACACTGACACCCCACCCCAATCTGATGGGTATATCTTTATGAACCCTCCGGATTTCCAGAGCTTCCATGTCAAAGACAATGAGAGCAGGAGAAACAGCATCTATTCTATAAAATGCATGTATACACGACGGTGAGAAATTCAGGATGGTCAGGAACCCAAGATACTATAAACAGTCTATTTGTCGTACTTTGGTTTGGTGACACGGGCTGTCTCTGGAATCTTTTAACCAAAAAAAAAAAAAAAAAGGAGGCCAAGAAATAAATTATTTCTTTTGGACAAAAAAGCTGGAATAACTAAAGGCAGTCATGAGCAATACATCAAATCAGTGCCTCCATTAGTAAAACTGTTAACACTTTAATAGCTACGAAGCGAATCACTCAACTTCCCACATGCTGAAACAGGTAACAATACATTTATCTGCCAGTATTATACTCTCCATATCATATATTTCCACAACTGTTAGCAATTTTATTCAGCATAACGGGAAATAAGTTGCACCTCGTGGATTCAGGGAAAGAAAGTGGCCTGAGGTCTGCTGCCAGCTGAGCGACTTGACGGAAGAGGCTTCATTTTTCTGTTTTGGTTCTGTTTGTTTTCTCCTCTTTCCCTCTTAATCACTTCCAATGCGTGTGCAGAGTGCTCAAAGTCAATCAGTGAGGACAAACGAGACCTCAAGGATTTCTGGGCTAGTGTTTTCAACACACGAGCTAGGATCCCACAGGAAGTGACCGTAGCGCCACAGAGCTCCAGGGCAGTGAGGGACCTCCAAAGGGGTCATCAAGTCCATTCCCCAGCCTCAGGCTTCACTGAAGGACCCCAGCTCCTCCCAAGCCCATGTCCTTAATAATCTCCTTGTGTCTGAATCCAGGACCCCAAGCCAAATCTCCCCTGCCTCATCAACGCTGTCATTAAGATAACGCCACGTTCAATCCCATAGCCTCGAAGCAGACTCAGCTGGCGAAGCAAAGGTCAGTAAACAGCATTCCCATGAGCTACACGACGGAAGCACACACCAGTCCCAGATCACATTGTCAAAAAAATCGCCTTCCCTGCCAACAATATTTCCAAGAGCTACTGAGCCCTCACCTGTGGACAAGAGAAAATCACTCTCCCCCAGCTACCCTTTGGTCCCAAGAAAGAAGGGCCCCCTCTGAGGCACTAGAGGAATACTACCCCCCTGAGAAACAGTAAATGCCCAATGCTTTCCTGTTTCTCCTTTTTTAGCTACAGACCTGCAGAGGCCCCACCTTGTAAATAAAACATCTTCCAGGAGGCCCGAAATCCTCCCCAGGAACGTCACCATTGGGCTGTGTATGATGCTGCTTTATTGGTACAAGAGCCATCTGCCTGAAATCACCTTTCCAATAAGGTCCCCTAGGCTGGGTCACAGGAAGACCCAGTTTATACCCAGTTCTACTTCTTGTTTGGCCAACAGTATATCCATGGATGAAATCCTGGTGTGAGATTCCTCCTGCATTCTGAACACATAGGAGGACTTCCTCCAGGGTCAAAGAGTACCCAACAGGTGAGGCATAAATCCTTGCAAAGAACAGTCAGTAGAGGGCTTACCTTGGGCTTCACCACCTTCATGAACGCCCCTCTGACCAAAGCTTCCTCTCGTTCTTGTTTGGTTACTTTACGAGCATCCAGAAACTTCAAATTGGGCAGCTTGTGCAGAACAAAGCATCTGGAAGAGAACAGTCAGAGGTAACTCAGAAAGACTGGGGTGACAGCCTCAAACTTTCATGCAATTTGTCTGATGAGCAGGAAACTACACCATTAGGTCTTCAGAAGTTTAGACCTTGGTTCCTGCCTCTCCTCTCTTCTTTCACAAAGAATGAATAACCACTCTTTGGGGAAATCCAAATGGTTCTATTTTACACAGATATACAACTAAACTTTCAAAATATACACCAATGGTTGCTCTTGACTCAAAGGTAGATACACACACACACACACACACACACACACACACACACACACACACACCTGGATTAGCCAGTAAGATCCTATCAACGTGCTTACCTTCTACCATTCTGAAAAATGGACCCAACATCTTTGCTACACAAGAAGTTCTCAGTGAAAATAACCTACAACCTGATCATACCATTAATGTCATCTGGATCATTCTCATCTCTGAGATAACAGCAAATCTTCATTTTGAAGCTGAGACAAGAAACTTTAATTTGCCATCAAGATAATAATAATAACCTGGACAACTTTGGGATAGCAGTAAGAAACACGTATAGCTGAGAAATGCTCCTTGAGGAATCAAACACGGGTCTTGAGGACTTTTGTCTCATCATCACTGAGTTACTTCTACACTGGCACTATGAAGATTATCTCCATCAAGGAGAAACAAGGAGAGTTGGTTTCTAGGGGATATGAATAGCCCCCAAAATGCTATATGGTCTCCATCCCCCTGGGAAGTGTCTTTGGGATCCATTACGGCCTCCAAGGATAACCCAATGACTGACCTCATGTGTGATGAACTATCAAGCAGGTGTATGGAGTTGACAAGAAGACTTGCCTGGCCAGGAGACAGGTACATAAACATATAAATGGATATATCAAAGATACAGACACCTGCCTATACGTCTCCTTCCTCAATGGTAGTCACCAATCCAGATGCTCTCCATCAAGCCCCCATACTCCATCAATCAAAGGAGCAATTGTTTAGACCCTGTCCTGCTTAGGAAGAAGAGTTGAGGACCCAACGTCAAGAGCAATAAATCACTTCCATGGGAATCTGACTTTTTCTCCCTGTACCCAACCTCCTCCGTACCCACTCATCTTCCAAATCCCAACCTGCAGGAAGTTTTCTCCTGCACCCGCAGCCCGCATTGCTTTCTCCTTTCTCAACACTCCCAGGAGGCATTTTCAGCACCCTGCAATTTAACATTTTATTTATTTATTCTTGCGGTACGTGGGCCTCTCACTGTTGTGGCCTCTCCCGTTGCGGAGCACAGGCTCCAGACGCACAGGCTCAGCGGCCATGGCTCACGGGCCCAGCCGCTCCACGGCGTGTGGGATCTTCCCGGACTGGGGCACGAACCCGTGTCCCCTGCATCGGCAGGCGGACTCTCAACCACTGCGCCACCAGGGAAGCCCCCACTTTATTGTTTTTTAATTGCTTTGCTGGTGTTCAGTTAATGTCCTCACCTAAACTATAAGCTTTTTGAAGGCAGGGACCAGGTTTTTTTTTTTTTTTCCCTCACCCTCACACCATTTAGGAAAGTAGCATTGGAACGGACTCCATAAAATACCAGTTCATTTCAGTTGCACAAATAGTTCTTAAGCACCTACTACGTGCCAGACCCTAGGTATACAGAGCTGATTACAACATGGTTCCTGCTCTTAAAAGAGGGTCTTAGTGTAACGAGGAAGAAAGACTCACCCAAAGAAATTAGAAATCAGCGTAGGTAAGTGCCAAGTTTGAGGTTATACACAAAGTAGCTTTGGGAGCACAAAGAAAGAGGAACAGGAAATCTCAAGAAGGCTTCAAAGATCCAAGCCCTAAAGCAGCCCAAGCCCTGAGCTTTTTCTCAGTACACATGTTACTTGAGGTGTGTAGCAGGCCTCCCTCCTCAGCAAAGCCTTGGGTTCCCAAGGCCAGCTTCCCCATTCATCAGGTGGTCTCACATCACCCCATGGCCTCGCATATGCTTGCCCAGGTAAAAGATTTAGCTGATCACTCAGGTGCCAGAGACAACAGCTTAGAGGGCTCTGATCACAGCCTTCATATTACTCTTTTTTAAAGTCAAAATACTCTAAATTCTCTTGTGTATCCTTTTCCTCCCCTGAAACTTCCACACCAACATCTGAGGTCCTGGAAATTTGACGATCTACTTCCTGCTTCCTTCCTGGCCTCAAACTATGCACTACCTTCTTTCCTGCTTCTCCCTGAGCGTTTCCCTCTCCAAATGCAGCCTAAGCTTACCCTAAATTAGAAAAGCTCTACAAAGGCCCAAATGACCTTTCTATCCTCCAGGAGAACTCCCACTGGCCTCAGTCAGTGTCAGAAAAAACTTCCACCTTCTGCTTGTAGCAGCAAAGTCTTGATGACAACAGATTCTTTCAAATAAAGACATGTACAGATGGAAACAATATGTCAGGAGTGACGCTCAAAGGAGTAAAGACACCCACTAAGTGTAGGGTGGGAAAAGATGAATATTCAGGGGAAGAAAACATCAGTATTAGAAAATCAGCCAGTGTTTAATGATGGAATGAAAGATGTCTTCACAGGGCTGGCAGGAACCACGGTGACAACAGACAGCACGTTGTCATTTTGCCCCACTTTGGATCACAGCCCTGAAATCAAAGGAGAGAGAGAGAAGTGCTGGCTTTTAAGCTAGTTAAAAATTTTAGATGACAAAGAGCTGCTGTTTTCAGAGCACTCTTCTTTTAGAACCAAAGAAACACCCATGGAATAGGCTGCCAGTCACCCCTGAAACTAGAGGTGACTTGACTCCCATCCTGTTGGCCAGCCTGGGGTTTCCAGGTGGTCGATGCTTAAAGATGTTTGAGAGGCACTAGGAAGGCCTGTCCCAGATAGTTCAGTCGGAAACTCAGCTCAGGGCCCAAAGTTCGTCTCTTAAGAGATGTCTTCTTTCATTTACTTACAAATTCACTCACCCAACAAATAATTATTAAGAAGCTACCACCTGCCAGGAACTGCACTAGGTACTGAGAATGAGGTGATGCACAAAACAGACAAGGTCTCTACTCTCAACGAGCTTATATTCCAGCACAGTTGTTCTCAAAGTTGAGGGGCATCAGCATCCCCCAGATGCCTTGTTGAAACACACATCGCAGGGCCCCACCCCTAGAGTTTGTGATTCACTACATCTGGAAGGAAGTCTCAAATTCACATCCTAGTAAGTTCCCAGGTGAGGCTGATGCTACTAGGCCTGCTGCGAACCACTGTGCAAGTGAAAATAACATCACGAGGAATAACAGTTTTGGAATTATGAGGTTGGTAAGGCCACCAAGGGTCTCCTTTCCAGTTCTGCTAATGGTCTGTCCTGCTCCAATGTCTGTGGTACCCAGCGCCCAGACAGCAGCCACATCTACCAGACCTTCCTGCCCCTTGGTGGTTTGGAACTGGCTCCAAACATTACTGCCAAGAGGTAAGTCCAGTGGGCTTTCTGCCTGCCTGTCCCATTCTGGTCTTGGGAGATCTATTTCCCTTTGTTCTAGGTCATGTCAGGGTGTCAAAAGCTGCAGTTTCAATCCTGAGTATAATACAAGTTTGCCATAAAAATACAAGAGAGGATTCCCGAAGCCACAGAATGAAGGCTTTTACAATATCAATTCAACCCTTGTAAATTTAATCCAGGGTTATTTGTTGCACCAAAATCTCTTTACTGTGATGTATTACTTAGTTACTGGGGTTATCACAGCCATATCCTAAAGTTGCACAGTACATAAAACATTTCAGTTAACAATGCGGTAAGGTTAACTCCCCCAGATAACCTGCAATCACCAGGGCTAGTCCAGATGACATGCCTCTGTCAGCTTCCACGAGCTATTGATGGTTCAATCAGTTTGTTTTGAAGGTAAAGTACAACAAAAGGGCAGTAAACTTATTCAGACTGTCAACAGGGGCTATTGGGAATGGGGCTTGCAGGTAAGTAATTCTGGGTGTTTTAAAGCTATTATCAAACAGCAATGGTTGAAGGAAGAGACAGCTACTAATAACACAGAAGGCAGCCATCATAAACCACTTTATGGCAGAAACCCCCGTCTATAAATCCTGCAGCACCCGGAGACAGCTTCAGATTTATAAAACTGCTTGTTAAGCCAGGGCACTGCTTAATGAAAAGAGATCTGTCTAAGTTCTAAGGCTCAGGTCCCCTGCTCCAGAGGGCAATGCCAACTTTCCTGACCTTCCCAAGGTGGCTGGGAGAAAGCCGCAGGGCTGGGAGGGGTAGGGAGTGAAATCAGGGGCCCTCCTGGCTGTGATACGGAAGGTGAGGTTATCAAGAGGAGACCAGGGACCCTGGGAAGTTGTTCAAAGACCCATCTGTCTCTGTCTGCTAACAGATTCTCCAAAAGTGAGAGCCCCACACAGAGCTTTTCGGGTTCTCTCTCTTTTCATAGAGGATACTCCACTTCCTGAAAGAACTTCTCTTAGGAAGTAACCGGTTACCTACAACTGGTAGGGGGGACAAAAGGAACAGCAGAAAGGCTTTTTTGTTTGTTTATTTGTTTGCTCCCAAATCAATTTTCTCTACCGAAATCCCGAAGCTCTGGCATTTTTCATCTAGACTTCAAAGGGAAGGGAGGATGCTCTTGTCTTCTGCCCACATCTGCTTCCCCGGGGGATCCGGCTGTTCCCCAGGCCCTCTGCACAGCCACAGGAACACCAAGACAGATCTCCAGTGTCTGCTCCTGGGGCTGGCTGGCATGTTTCATCCTCTGAGGAGACTCTACTCAAGAAACACCACATTTCCAGATCCTGAGGGAACTGGATGTGGCGTCACTGGGATTTTCCCCACTTCCTTCCTTTTACAGCACTCAATGCTTCTTCCTATTGCTTCTTGCTGCCTTCCTGCTCCCATGCACGGGAAGGGGGGAGACCTGGTGACTGGTGCCCCACCCGGGGGCCCCGAGGGCAGCAAGGGTGATCCATGAACTGCTCTCAAACTTTCACAAAGCTTAACAGAAAAGCGTGGACGCGCCAAC